TTCAAACTTAGCTTGTAGCGATTCTGTGTTCCTCGCATAAACATGATTATACAGCTTACTTAGAAATACTGTCACAAAGCACTCTCGTAGGCGCCTTAGTTCTTGAGAAATATTATTTTGAAGGTTTGAATATGAAAAGACTTATGGGACAATATAATATATACCAGTGGCGTACCCAGGATTTCGGCTGGGGGGGGGCGAAAAAAAATTTTTTTACTAATGAAGGTGCGTGGAGTCAGCCACGCACTCCGAAAAATTTTCTGGTATGCTTTCTAAAATTTTCGTGGGCCCATAACGCGAAATTTCTGAAAAAGGGGGCGTGGCGTCAGCCACTCCTCCGAAAAAAATTTTTTTATAAGGCTGAAATGAATTTTTAAAAAATTTTTAAAAAATATTTTAATTATTTACAAGTACAAACAAGTCACTTGTACATTTTATAACTCATGTAAGTAACTTTTAAAAATTTCGCGACCCGTTTTCGGGGGGGGGGGGCACTGATACATACGTAGGTGGTCATTAACATTGACTTCTCTCGCAGATAAACTATAAGTACGTGGAATCCCATGGTAATAAATAGAATTTCATTCCCAAACTTCAGTTACATCATTTTTTGTCAATTTCGCTCTGTCACATCCTAAAAAGCCATTTCATCCAATATTTACAAACATCATTTTTAACACCTGGAAGTCGATATGTTTAGTCTTTTTCTAGATACACAATTACACATGTCTAGGAATATTAGACTGGAATGTGAAATTTGATACTCCTGCTGTATCAGCTCTGCATCCTCCTCGTTCTTTGTCAATATGTTTAAATATTCGTAGATGTTTTATATACTGACATCATCTCTGTGACCAAGGTGCTTTTCTACAACGTTCTCACAGCTGTAATTAATAGCAATTTCTTCGGTTTCAGCTTGTTTCTCAACAATTTGTTCGTAGTCGTAACAGATGTTATCGCAGACTCATTACATACTTATATTTTTTTACAGAAATACGCATTGCAATAATAACAAATCTATCTAGCTTTGTAAATTTTTGGTTGACATTCAAGACAATTTTTATATCTGACTCACTGGAGAGTTTCGCACGAGGTGTGATTTTGACACTTGCTGCACCAATTTTTTTCTGAGAGTGAGCAAATAAATTTCTTGAATCCTTTTTCAGTAAGCTTGATTCGAAAAAATTAAAAAAAAAGAGGTCTTTGGTTATGTAATAAAAAATCTCTTGCTCTAATCTCGAAAGGAGTGCGCTTTAGATACTCGGATGACTCTCATCTATGATTTCAAGCTTTTTCTTTTCTCCACTGAATTTTTGTAGTTCTATTTTCTAAAAAAAAAACAACTATTCGC